GGAACCATGACGCTCGCTCCATGAGTCCCCTCATGAAACAACCGAGCGAATCCAGTCCAATCAAACTTCATGAGACCCCTCATGAAGCAACAGTGCCAACAAAACTGTGTTGAAATACAGAGCGCACGCTCCATGAGACACCTCATGAGGCAACAGCGCAAAGAGGACGAACTTGACTGATGCTCGCTCCACGAGGCCCCCTCATGAAGCAGCCGAGATCATCAAGTTAAATATACCACTCCATGAGACCCCTCATGAAGCAACAGTGCCACCAGCGTGGGAATGAATCGCACGACGCACGCTTCACGAGACCCCCTCCTGAAGCAACAGCGCCGACCAAGCCGAACTGGGACCATGACGCTCGCTCCATGAGTCCCCTCATGAAACAAGCTAATCCAGTCCGATTAAACTTCATGAGACCTCTCAGAAAGCAACAGTGCCAACAAAACCGTGTTTGATTACAAAGCGCACGCTCCATGAGCCTCCTCATGAGGCAACAGCGCAAAGAGGTCGAACTTGACTGATGTTCGCTCCACGAGTCCCTCTCATGAAGCAGCCGAGCTAATCAAGTTGAATATACCACTCCATGAGACCTCTCATGAAGCAACAGTGCAACCAGTGTGGAACGAATTACGCGATGCACGCTCCAGGAGACCCCCTCCTGAAGCAACAGCTCCGGCCAAGCCGAGCTGGAACGATGACGCACGCTCCACGAAACCCCTCGTGAAGCAATTCGCCAAGCCAGTGGCACTGGAAATGAGCGACTACAAAATGTGAAAGTTCACTGAATTTCGGAAATTCTCCAGGAGATTGCGCATGGTGCAAGGAGATGCAAGAACTCCAAGCACGTCGAGTAGATGGACAGATGTTGGCTCCATGGGATCCCTCATATAGAGCAACAGCGCCAAGTGTTCAGCGCTAACCAAGTCGACCTTCGAATAGAAAGGAGCCCTGCGCGCGCCATGAGACCCCTCATCAACCAACAGTGCAAACCAACAGTGCAAACCAACTCGGTATTGGACGCTCACTTCGTCGGACTCCACCAACGGATCGACAGTGCCAAGTCATTCGAAAAAGACACGCGCGCTCCATGAGACCTTCGTGGGGCAACAGCTCGACATGGATGAGACGCAGGGAACCCGCCCAGACCCGACCAAGCTATGCGTTCGGCTTGATACCCAAATCAAGAACCAGCTTCTGGCGTGACACTGCGCGGCCAGCTGTGCGCATTGAGGAACAGCTCCACAGGTGCCCGTACCCAGTAAGGTCTTGAAACACGAGTGCAGTTGCATAAACATCATGGACAGGTAGAGACAGCCCGGCGGAACCTCCTTCATGGTCATGACTACTGTTCATTCATGCATGCCAATCGCCCACATAGTCTGAGCTCGCTCCCTGACACCCTCATGAAGCAACGTTGCCATCACAGTGGTAAGGTAATAAAGCGCGACACGCAACCAATCACGACGTGGCAGGGTTGCAGAGTCAGCATGTCATCAGCGCACCAGCATGTAGGGACAGCGCACCTCTGCCACTGACTTGGTAAGCCTTGCAGGGTCATCGCCAGGAGTAGCGCTTGCGCCGCCCAAGTCCCTCTTGGGTCGGCACGGTGCGGCCGCATCCGGATGGACAACAGGTGCCCCGGGTATCCGAGGTGAACACTTTCGCCTGCCGCAGCCCACAACCGCCATGCATAGGTCCCTCCCAGCGCGGACAAGCTCCTCGAGGTGGTTCTTGAATTCGAACAAAGCCGCCGCATGGATGACCTGAGCACACGTGTAGGCGGCAAGGGTGATTCCGCGAGCGCCCATGGCGTTCAGGGTCTCGCCCTGATAGACCCACCACAAGTGTAGAGTTCCTCCCTACCAAGCTAGTCTTTCTAGGGTCCCGCCCCAAAAAGAGAGAACAAACGCTATTTTAGCCAAGGCACTTGAGCCAAAACATTCGTTGGTTCAAACCTATGGCAGTAATGAATGCATGTTCACCCAAGCCTGCCAGACCTGAAACATGTTTAGCTAAGCAGGTCCACCACTTGGGATATGTGCCGGGTCCTTCCCGCGTCCTTCACCAGATTATGTTTATATAGTTGAAACCACTGCTTCTCTGTCGATCTGCGAAGAAAAAACAAAAGCCACCCACGGGTTCTTCTAGGTTCCGGACAAGCTTGAGGCGGTTAAGCCTGCAGTGCTCGAGCTGGGGCCCAGCCAGCAGTTGACTCAAACACCCTTTGAGAGTACAAGGGCTTGAAGGGTCAGCAAGACAAAGTCAAAGTGTTTGCAGAAGTGCCACCAAAGTCACCGCACAAGTCATGCTTCTTCCAGTCACAGAGCTCGGGGTACCAAACTTCCCCCATCCACGGGCCCTGGATGGGACGACTAAAAACCACGCCGAGCTCTGTGACCGGTTCATGGTTCTTTCGGTGTCTCTTCGAGTGTCATCGAGTGTCATCGACCACCACTTCGAGCTCGGCCATCGAGCGACTCTGAGCACTAAAAAAAAACCGAGTCAAACGAGGAGTTTCATCTTACTTCTCTGAGGCAACCTTCTGAGGTACACATGGTGTCATGGACCCTTTTCCTTCAACCCATGTGGTTTTGGGGGGTTCCTCGTTCTTCATCTGCGGTTCTTCGTTCTTCGTTCGGGTGCGATCCTCCTCTTCTCGCTGCGGTGCCAAAGCGTCGAAGCATGGGGCCATCAGGTGCAAGCAGCCATCGTGCCGGTGGATACGTGCGCTGTTTTGCTTAGCACGGACATGTATAGCTGTTTAGTTTTGCGCTGTTTTGCTTAGCCACATTTGGACGATTGGCTTCGTCATTCACCTACCCTCACCCCCTCCTTGAAACACAAGCCCTCAAAAGATTGCGTGCCGATCGGAGCGTGGCAGCAAATGGTAAAAATGTTCGATCGAACTTATGGCAACCGTGTTTTCAGAAAAAGTCTCCCAACTCCAAGGCAGCTGGGATGGAGGACGTTTTGCGTCAAGAGCTTCAACATCTGAAGCTACTAGGTGGAGGCCATCGCTATTAGGTTGGAGGCCATCGCTACTAGTAAGAAGAAGCTCCTAGTAGCTACTGAATAGTTACACACTCGAGACTCGAAACTGTATGGAGCCTTCAGACCTGACCACGATCCAGGCGATCCCACAGGCCTTGCCCTCTGGGCCCCTTCGTGAACCACAAGAACACGGGCTAGCGAACACGGGCTATAGCGTCCACGTGGAGATGGGTATCAAATGAACAATATGAATTATTTAAATGTTTTGAATTACATCGACTAAGCAACAACCGCGCCAGTTCAAGGCATGTCTTTAATTGTGGCGTGAGACTTGTTGACCATCGGAGTGCCGTCTACCAAGACCTTGCTGACGCATAAAGCCCGTGGCCGCTCCATCCTTCCCTCACCTTCCTTTTTGACACAAATCCTCAGGTCCCGCCCGGTGAATTGGAAATATAGGCCATGGATGGCCATGGATTGTAAAACCATTTGGGCGTTGCTCAAAACAAACTTGAGCCGCAGGCTGTTGTTCGGAGGAGTCAGCCTCAGCCTGATAGGATCAGTTTTGGTCCAGGCACTGGAAACGCATCTAGTCAATCTACAACTCGGCAATGTGGCCGTCATCATCTTGCGCCGAACCAATGGTAGACCAATGATGACCAATGTGGGACAATCACTGGTCCAAACTGCTGTCAGCATTCCTCTCCCAAAGCACTTTTTGGCGTTTGGGCCAAACACTCACGGAGCGAAGTAGCCAAGGTTACGAGCCAGTGGCACAAGGGTCAGGTGATGGTCACGGACGAAATTAAGGTTCAAAAGCAGAGTTCCAAAATGTTCCAAACTCAATCTAGCCCCCCCCTTGCAACCGGTCAACTTGTCTTGATGCCTGCCGACAAGCTTGAACGAAGAACCGCACTCAGTAAAGTCTTGGCAACAAGTGATGCCCATACTTTTGGCCCGTGCATGCTCTGGAAGACGTCCTTGTCTTAATTACTCAGTCAAGACTTGACTACCTACTGACGAAGGTTTGCTTACTGTCTATATAGGTTAGATATATATATATATATAGATGTTCGAACATGGTGCATGTAAAGAAGCCGTGGCCAATAGCTGTTTTGCTTACGCACCTCGATATGACATTCAGTCACTCATTTCAACAATGTTCAGGGCAAACACACGGAACTTGCAGTCCAGAAAACAAAGAAGCTGTCGCGAACATAAAAGTGTTCTGGTGGGAAGACATTGAACAGTCACTGAGACCCAGGGCGTTGATCTGGAAGCGGGTCAAGACACTCCATGCACCTCAGGGTAGGCTGCAGAGAATCTTCGAAGATCAGCAGGCAAGTGATTGACAAGCAACTGCGTTCCTCGACGCGATAAACAGCTCTTCGCACAGCCCTTGAGAAGGCGCGGTTTGAATGTCAGGCTTACGCCGAATCTTGCGCAGCCCTTACGCGACCAGTGTATTTGCTTATGCGCAGGATCGAGTGAGAGGGCTTTCACACAAGGAAGAGTGGACTGTCTGGCCTGCACTTGTGTGACAAAGCTGAGCCTCGCCATCAAGCTCTCAAACGAAACGTGCGCCTTTCAACCAACAGCCCTCTGCAAGCAGTGTCACTGACAATTTTACTGCATGCGTGTGATGCATTTCGATGAGGAAAAGTCCTTTACTGGGACAGGTACACAATTTGCTGGGGCAAGACACGACATATATGCAAGCTGCGGCTCTTGCAAGATGCATTGGATTGATATAAAACTATTATCAGTTTCAGGCATAGTACCAACGGACGGCGCAGAACAAGAAGCATGACTCCTGATATCGCCAATTTCTGTGCTCTCTCACTGGCTGCGAATCTGCTCGAATGAAAAATTCTGAAAGTGATCAGTTGTGATTAGGAATCGCCTCAAGGAGTTAAATTGGACAAGCATCATTTCACAGTGGATCTCAACTAGCCGCAAGCCCCCTTAGTCAGTGCGTCAAGGTGTGCGTGAGTCCTCACTTGTGAGATGCACACAAGCAGTGCGGAATTGGTGTCTGAAGAACCCCCAAAGACCAAAAGAGTATTCATGTTTCATCTTTAAGGGGGTGATAAGAGCTTCTGAAACATACTACCACTGCTAGTTTATGTTGCGCATGGGGATATGTTTTCAGCTTGAGATGTCTCTTCTCCCTCTGTCATGTCCAAGAACAGCATCTGGCTAGCGTCTGGATCCCGGTGCCGCAGCAGGGCCATTCGCGCAACGGACTTCTTGCAACGGATCCGATGTCCAGTTCACCATGTTCCCAGCCATTGCGTCAGGTGATTCAGTGTTCCGTCAGGTGATAAGGGCTCTACTCCAGGCTCTCTTATATGAAAGGACCGATTCCAAACCGCATACTGGTATCTAAGATCTGCATGTTGTGAAGAATGGAAGCAAAACTCGCTCCCTGAAAGAGACCCAAGACTCTATAATGGGTTGTTCATGTGACCCCACATGCTACACTTCCTGGGACCGGAATGCTTTCGACCAGCCTTTCGTGAGGGAGTGAGTAAGTGAGTTGAGTTGAGTTGAGTTGAGTTGAGTTGAGTTGAGTTGAGTTGAGGTGAGGTGAGGTGAGGTGAGGTGAGGTGAGGTGAGGTGAGGTGAGGTGACGTGCGTGGGTGGGTGAGTGAGTGAGTGAGATTGAGTGAGTGAGATTGAGTGAGATTGAGTGAGATTGAGTGAGATTGAGTGAGATTGAGTGAGATTGAGTGAGATTGAGTGAGATTGAGTGAGATTGAGTGAGATTGAGTGAGATTGAGTGAG